GGTATCAGGCCTCAGGATAAATATAATAGATATATTAGACTTTATTAAATTATTTAATTTAAAATTGATTAAGTATCGCATCAAATATGTTTACCATTTATACGAAAAAATTGATAAACAGATAGGAAATACGCACATAAACAAAATCGTCATTATAAACCAAAGAATTAAATATTTTCAAAATAAGAAAATTAAAATTGAAACTATTTTTTTATTCTACAATAAAATTGGCTACTGAACTGGGTAAGGAAATGAATGTATGCGATAATGTTTATAAAATTTTTGAATTAATTACAAATTTGGGCTTAAAATTTTATCTGAGATTTCTGCTAATATTTTTCAATTATTTGAAGATGATAATATATAATATCGATGTTACTAATATATGATATAAAGCTAGTAATTGTAATTTTTCAAGTTACATAATGTAAATAAATATATTACCAATTTTCTTTTGAAATATTTTTTTATATCTTTAAACATGAAAATAATTTGAAAGAAATTTTACTTAATATGTTCATTTTTTTACGACTTTATTATTATCATTTCAAATTTCAAATTTTGAAACGCAACGCATACTTTCAACATTTGAATAGATTAAAAACTTCAGAAGAACGTTTTTTAACCAAGAAAAATTATTATTCATTTTTCTGTAGAGAGAGGTAGGTACAACTGGATTTTTCAAATTTAACTCAAGAGTTTAGTGACAGAAAAACTTGGAAAAAAATGTGTTAAAAAAAAAAAAAAAAAAACCTGCCTAATATTTTTACTTTTATTTATATTTATGTTTATTGTTTATTTAATTTATATGATAGTTATTTATTACTAAGAGACAAAACTACAAGAGTTGTAATATAATCATATAGCCATATATGAATGGTTTATTTATATTGATCAATATTAAATATTTTTTATAGACTTAATCACCTAAAGTATGATTTATTTGTAATTTTAAAAAAAAACAATTAAAGATAAAAATATTTACGACGTTGTCGGAAATACCGTCAACGATTTGTTAGTTTGTTACTAGTCTAGCTGTGTGCTGTGAAGATTGAAGATTTATCGTCTGATAGAGACTTGCCGTCATCAGAAATGTCGGTACAACCGGTCGAGCCAATTCACGGACGAGGAACGGCTGAGGCGTACATTTTCAATGACGGACCGAAAGACGACGCAGAGGTAGGTATTGGTGATGGTAAAAACGTAGTGTCGGTCTAGTGAACAGTAGTGAGGAATTCGTTTGCGGACCTGGTCAGTTAGCTAGATCCGAGTTAAACCATACCTCGACCCCGCTCATCGCAAACGACGCCAACGGAAATTTGCCGCTGCGTGAAAAAGCATTGAGCGGATTTTGCAATGTGCGTGTTGCACCCGACGCCATTAGCGTTCTCCCACCCAATCCCTAACCTCTTCCGAAAGACATCGGCAGAGACTACGACACTTGGACCAGAGGATGATACGAGAAAGAGCACGGACGGTACCCAGTGGTAAGTCACCCACATACAGTTCTCCCACAGTCCCCTGCATGACGGGTTCGCAGGCGTCGAATACGCTCGGGGGGCCATTGCGATCGGAAATTTTTGTCGCGAGTAGCGACGGACGATGACCACACTCATTACAACGGCGGTAGAGACTTTGGCATGATTGGAGCTAGGAACACGGACGTCAGAGCCCGACGGTGCACAGCTCTGCGAGCGATCATCGGATGTAGGCACAGGGCTGACGAGACGTCTAAAAGAGATTTCGTCTCGGTGCAACAATGTGTTGCGGCGCGGTCCGCAGACTTTTTCGTGCCACAGCTACCAGGTCGGCCGGATCGCTCTTCTGCAGACCCGTCGGCGACTTTTCGTGTAACCGACCGCATGAGAACGTTGTAAAGGTGACCCACACTGCCTATAATATTCTCTCTAAACATCTTGCATCCATTTCGACATTTTCGTCTCATCGTTTAATATGCTGTCGTTCCAATTCATTTTTTTCCCCAATTTTTTTAAATCTTGTTTTTGCTAAAAACTCGAGTTTGTTTATTTTATAAGTACGTTTTGTTTTGATTTAATTTTTTTTTTTTTTTGACACCAAAATTATTGTTTAACGATGAAAGCTACGAGTACCTACTCTTAACGATGTATGTTTTTTTTATCATTATTATGCAATTTAAAATGTATGACTTACGTTCTATTTTTTTGTTTATGTTTAAATATTAATACTAAAAATTAAAATTTGTTCACGTGAAAAATTGTTATTTTTTTCATATTGTTGATGAGTATCTATGTAAATCAATTATTATAATTAACAAATTAGAAAATTGTTAAAATACATATATTCAATATAAGATTCTTTTGAATAGAGTGATGAGCATCATCGCATCGACCACAGTAGAAACACTTCACACGTAATACATACGTATTAAAAAATAGTTATTAATAAATTATTATACAGCATTAATATAATGAATTGTTCGAAAAGCAAAACTAATCATTAAATTATGAAAAAATTATTATATAATATAATAATTTTATATTATTATTATATATTATAATTATTATTATTATAATCTTAATTATTAAGATTTATAAACTATAAGAATTGTAAAATAATATATGCATTGTATTGAATATGAACGTCAATATAATCGAATAATTAATAAAATGGTAGACGATGAGTGACTATCGCTCTACTGTACATTTGATGTCGAGTGGGTTACTGTTATGAATTATAGGCAGGGCTTGCATTTGAAAAAAAAAATTTGTTATGCGTTATTTATTTATTTATTTATTTTGCGTTTATTGTTATTCAGAATTAAAATGTTTAATATATTTTATAAATTATAATTTATAACTATTAAATAATTGGAAACTAATAATTATTCCATTTTATTATAGTATATTATACTATATTTAATGTTTTGCGTTAGGTATTTTTTGTGTTATGATATATAATATATTTTGTTAATCGTTATGTTTTGTTTTGTATTATTTAATTATTTATGTTTATCGTTTTTGGCGTTTTCCGTTATAGGTATTAGGTAATTTCGTTTACAGATTTCAATTGATTATTTGTTTACTTTCTTATATTATTTATGAATATTGCTATCTTTTAGAATTTTTATTGATTAATCTTACAGTACAGTATTAATTATGTTTAGTGTATGATAAAATAATTTATGATTAAACTAATACTAATAAGTAATAACTATCAGTTAACGACGATCTATGAATCTATGACTTAAGATTTTATTTTAATTAATATTTAATCAATTTACGTTTATACTTTATTCATTATTGATTCTGAAAAATTAAGTATAACAATATTAAAATATTAATAATACATAAATGGCTAATAAAAAAAAAAAAAAAAAATTGAACCAGCTACATCTTATTACAACCATACTAATGATAACACGCCTGTAGAGCATACTAGCGTCGTTGAAAGTAATATTAAAAATAAAATGAATGCTTGTTTTAAAAAAGTTAGAGAAAAAAAGAGGCCCCCTCGTTAACTCCAAGTTGAATATAAAGTGTGTAATACGAAAAAATATATATTTTAGTCTCTGTTATATACCTATGTATTTATATAATATTATATCAAATTGTATACACAACTCGAAATTTAATAACATTTAAATACCGCGAAAGTGAAAAAATAGGTTCATAGTATTATACATATATAATATTTTTAAATAAATCAAAAATGTTAATGCCTATTGTAAAATTTATAATAACATGATATACGTAAAAGTTTAAATTTCTATATGATCAAACTTTTCTAATCTAATAATACAAAATTCTATAGATACTTACCAGTTTAAACAAGAAAAAGCATTGAGAACTGTAATAAGAAATCTTCACCACACGATTCCACTAGACAAAATAAAAAAAAACTTATATCTCTCGACTATATTTCAAAAAACGTAATCATTTTAATAATAAATGCTCACTTTCACTGTTCTTTATCGATCTAGAATTTAATATTTACAACAAAGTGATTTTCATAGTTGATCTCCTAGTCATTCTAAAATAAAAATAGAAGAGCCTTGTGTTTCCCATTAGCTAGTTCAATCCTTTTACTGCCAAGACTACGGACACACAAAAATGTATTGTAACTATCTACCTAAATGTGTTTGATATTGTGAACTTTATCCTTTTGACAGTTCTTAAAAATTATCAGATCTACCAGTTAAATGCGCCTTTTATAACGACTAACGATTCCACACTCGGCCCAACTACAGATGTTTTCTAATGCACATACTATTTTAATCGACTCAATAATCTAAAAAAAAAAAATCACCTAGCTCAAGGTAATTCTAAACTTCTTAGTAATAAATCATTAGTATTAAAATTTAAAACTATGGACTATGGTACATTGGTACTAATTGTTATTCTATACTAAGAGGACGCTACATACGTAAATATTGAGACCAAAAACGAGGTTTGCGCGAACACGTTTTATGAAAGCTATGAGCACTCTAGAGATTCAAAAGTTTTACATAATATATAGAAGGTAATTTTTTCTATGATTTAGTGTTTTTATTTTTTTATTAAAAAAATTAGGTAAAAAGTTATAAAGCTTAAAAAACGTATGATATTATGTGTTTTTAAAAAGCTTATAAAACTATATTGAGTTAAGTTATGAAAAAAATAAAAACACTACATCACAGATAAAATTCTCCCCAATTCTTGGTGAAAATTTTATAAATTTATTATTAGTGTAGCCGGTTTATCTTATGTTCGCGTAAAACAGTTTTTAACAATCTTTTATGGTAAACACAAATTTTCTTCATTGATTTATACGCTGTTCTCATTGATATAAAACAGGACGCGGGGGACAAATGTATCTTAGGTTAGATATATCTAAAGAACATTACTTCCAATAACTATCAATCAAACAATGATAAATGGCATAATTACGTCATAGACAGTGAGAAATTTTTACTTCTATGATCCGTTCGTAAATTTAAATTGGTTTTAATTAAACATTTTATAAATTATCATGCGATATAGGCTTATAACCGAACTTTACCTAGTTGACAAATTAGTCGAATGTCATTCGTTCAACAGTTGAACTGTTACTACAGTGACTGTAGTACAGTCGTACCTTTTTTCAAGAATACCAAAATAATTATTTCCATGCGATAAACTTTATCACATTTTCAAGAGATTGTCCACTGCTATCAGCACTCTTGACTCATGGTATTTGGCTTCAAAGAGTTCAAAGATAAGTAATATTGTAATAACAAATAACTAATAAGAATTAAGAATAATAGTGAATTAATGAATATGATATATTTCTGAACTATTATTTTGATTTACGCCCATTAGATTTGTCACAATTTCTTAGAAAGTAAAGTATTTCAAATTTGTATTTATTTTTTTGTATTTTGATTTCTAGATGAGTAGTTATTTTAATTTATCAATTTTTACTTTTTTTTATGGAATGCTGTATTAATTAGTCAGTGCAAATGTCAAATAGAGACGGCAAATCGCATTTGGATATGACCAGTCATGTTGATTCCGATAGTGAAGAATTTGACTGTGATAATCGTAGGATACCACTGGAACATCTTCCTATGTTCCAACGTTTGGCATCAGTTAATGGAAAAATAAATCGTATGAAAAGACGTCAATTGATAAATATAATGAACAATAAAAATCTTAATACTGATGGCGAAATAGATGTGTTAAGAAAACGTTTAAAAAACCACTATAGAATGCAAGCTCTGATTAAAGCTAAAATCTGTGAATCTGAAGCCACTTACTTTCCGTATTTTGTTGTTATTGATATTGAAGCTACATGTACTGAAAATAATCCTGCTGATTACAAGTAAGTTAACATGTTAATAAACTGTTTCCTTTTTCCAAAATATATTCAACATTAGAAAACAGTTATTTATAATTATGTACCTAGATTATTTTAAATTATAATACTATTGTGTTTAAAAACTATTATTCTTCAACTCTCAATATTGTCCTAATTCCTTTCAAGTTTCAACAATTTAATTATCTGCTAAACCCTTAGATACATTGATACATTTTCATTATCTTATTAAATTTAATTAGTATAAAATAAACTAAATTTATTAGGTATAGCCATTTTGTATCTATTTGTCATTTTTTTAAAAATTATTCTATGAAGAAGTTATAAACTATTCTTGTTACAAGTTTTTAATTTATTTACTTTAACTGTAAATTTTCAAATACCATATTGAATAGGCTAGGCACATTAATAATAAATAATAATTTAAAATTAAAATGGCACAAGTTTAGATCCCTATTTAATCAAGTGATAAAAGAAAACCTTATGGAAAAAAGTTATTTTAGGAGACCAAGGTTGAGATTGAAAGATTGTATTTAAAATTATATAAAAAATGGTTAGACCAGTTGTTTGTTGGAAGACAGCTTTATATTTAGCAGATTAGAAGCAAAAAATAATAAAAAAAATAAATATTTTAAAATTATTAAATGTAAATAAATGTAATTAATATATTAAATTCATATTTTCATGTCTGTGTAAATAATTTAATAAAATTGATGATTATAATATGTGTTTAAATTATATGTTTATTGTTTAATTTATATATTAGATTTGAAATCATAGAATTTCCAGCTGTATTGGTGGATGCTAAGAAACGAAAAATTATTGATCATTTTCAAGCATTTGTAAAACCAACAATCAATCCAAAGCTATCTGAGTTTTGTATTAAATTAACTGGTATAACTCAAGTAAGTTTATTTTTATTTCTGTTTATCTAATTTTTAGGATATCTATTGTTCCATAAAAAATCAATCTATACAAAAAAAATTATCATAAGTGTAGTTAGTACCTATTTATTATTATTTTTTGATTATTCTTTAAAAAAAAAAAAAGAATATTAAGAATTAAGCCACTGAATTTAAAAATATTTAAAAAATTGTCATTATTTACGTAAAAAGTACTCAAAAATAATTTATTTTTTTTAATTGTGATATCCTCATTAAAAACTTTGAATACTATTTTGTTGATTTTTTTTATTTTATTTATTTTTTACCCTTAATATAATAGAAAAATTAAATGTTGACCACTAGCATTTTATTTACTTTTTTAAACTAATCAAAGCCACCAAGTTATCATGAAATGCAAATTCTGTTATTGTACTCTAATATATTTAATGCTTATTACTCACAAATATAATTTTGTAGACTCAGATAGCGCAGTACATACTCAAAATATTAAGTATATAATAAATGAGTTATAATTAAATTTCAAGAGATATCATTAAGTTGATGCTCCATTCACTAAAAGATTTTAATTTTACATTCATAAACATATCATATTTTCCCAGCTGGGAAATACTGATTCCATTTATTATACTCTGTGCTATATGATAAAAATATAATTTATTTTAACAATATATTAATACAAAAAATTTATAAAATATCATATGTTTATGAAAATAAAATAAAAATCTTTTTATGAATGAGACATGAATTTAACAATGTCGCTTATAATTTAATTATAACTCAATTATATACTCAATATTTTGAGTATATGCCCCACTATCTGGATTTATAAAATTATATTAGTGAGTATTAAGAGTACTATAATGGAATCGACATTTCCCAGTCGCCTCTTTTGGCCATTGAAGTACAATAACCGAAAAGTACCAATATAACTTTTATAAATATAAAAATAATTACTGAACTATGTAGTATTTTTGTTTTGGGATAAAAAATTTACCCTATGTGTGTGGTTAAAGATGGTTAATACACTAAGTATTTTAATTATAAATCAATAGTATAATATTTTAATAATAGTATTATTAACATATTTTCTAATTTAATGTTAATTTCAGGATCAAATTGATAAAGCTGATCCATTTGAATTATGTTTAAAGAGATTCACTAAATGGTTAGAAGAACATGAACTTGGAATTAAACACAAGTTTTCTATTGTTACTGACGGTCCATTTGATATGGCTCGGTTTCTTTATGGACAGTGTTTAGTAAGTCTTAACACAATTTTTGATTAAAATAAAACTAAAAAATTATAAAATATTTTACTATTTATGAACTATTTTGTTTGGTAATTATTAAAATTATATAACTTTTAGATGTCAAAAATTCCATATCCAAAATTTGCTGTTAAATGGATAAATATAAGAAAAGTATTTAGATCATTTTATTTTACCAAACAAGTTAAGGTAATTTATACACTAATCAAGTTATATATGAATAATAATTTTATACCTACAATATAATACTTAAAATAATTATCCTTAATTTTCAAATTTTGAGTTTATAGTTTATAATCAAAAAAATAAAGAAATGTATAAGCTTATCTACTATTTTTTGATGTAATTGCTAGCTACTTCATTATATTATAAGTTCTTGGAAATGAAATTTTAAATCTCTTATTTATAAAAACTTTTTTCCACCTTTTCTTAATTCAGTTATTTATTACCTCAATAACTTCTTAGTCGTCTTGATAGTGAATTTTTTATGATTACTCTTATTATATTTTAATCTATCAGGTTTGTTTAGTAGAGGAGATCAGAAATCAGAATGATTTAAAAGTTCAATACTGACATTGTAACACAAGACTGAGTATTGTTGTGAATAAGATATGTACATGAAGTTAGTAACCTTGAGTTTCCTCAATGTTTCACTGTAAGCTGTCTGTGCATTAATTCATTCTCCCCTCAAGTCAAAAAATCAATGAAAAATGTTTGCCTTAAATTAAGAAACCATGATTTATGTATTGGACTTAACAATTTTGAACTTTTATCACCTTAGAAATATAATGTCGCTATAGCTTGATTGTAAGTTGCTTTTTGAGCTGTAATGGGAAACCTAAGTATTGTTTCATATCATAACTGATTAAAGAAATTAATTCATGACTTTGTACTCATTCACTTGGGTCTTGTGATTTAGATTCTGCACAACTACTGATAAAGGTTTGATAATCGGCGTAGAGTTAAAATGTTCTTTTTCAATAACCTTTCCTGACATATGTTTAAATGTTCTATTAGCCATCGAAATCGTCCATTCTCTTCAGGGAAGCATATTCTGTCACTCATGTAAACCTTCAGAAAATAAAAATCTCTTTCTCCTATAAAAACAAACAGAATTTATTTTGTGTAAATATTTTTTTTTTCTATGATATTAATTTACAAATTGATTTATAGCATTCAGTTCTTTGCAATCTAAATGCAATGTTAACATTTTTGGATATGCAGTTTGAAGGAAATCCTCATAGTGGCCTTGATGATTCATTTAATATAGCCAGAATATGTTTACGGTTACTTGAAGATGGAGCTTTTATTGATCAAAATGAACGAATTATTTCGCTTAAAACACCAACACCTTATGGAAAAGATGTAATTGTATTTTTATAACTATATTGTAATTTATCTAATATATTTTAATAAATGTTGAATTTTTCCACAGGATCCACTGCCTGTGAGACCTGTGCACAATATATTTTGTGATGGAATGCATAGTCATAGTAACAATAGGTGGTTGGTTTCTCGATTGAAGACTTTAGATCTTAATGATGACATTTAACATTGATTAAATTCATTAAAAACTGTGCATCAACTTTCAACTATTATGTTCCTTCCAATGTAAAATATTAATTGTTAACAAAGTTTTATTTTTTTTTTTAAATTGTTTGTTGTCTCTAATATGATTTTGAGTCAATTTAATTGTGATCATTGTAATAATAATCATTTTAATAAAAATAAAATTTAATCTTTTTAGTTTTCATTTGTTGTTTGTAAATTAAAATTATTTTTCTAAGAACTTACTATAGGTATTATAAAAGAATATAGATAAATGTAGATAAATAAAATTAGAAAAAACTATAAGTTATGTAAAATTGTTTCATTTAACTAAAGTTATAAATATTATCTTGTACGCTGTTTAACAGTTTTTATAACTTTAATAGTTGTATGATAGTATATTTAATATTATTCGTGATTTATAATAGGAAATCAATAAGGTCTTGTGAATTTAACAACTATTTAACCAAAGTACTGTATATTATACATTCAAATCATCCATCTAAAATATAAAAATTAGACTAATAGATTACTAATATTTATAAATCTGAATTTTATGTTTGATAGTGTATGTCTTTAATATTTTAAATTAACACAGTTAACTGTAGTTTAGGTTAGTCAATAAGAACACCACAGAAAAGGATAATTTAAAGAACAATGGTATGTTTTATGATTCTACGATTTATTCTAGAATTTTATTAAAAAAACTAAAATTGTTATTTTTTGTAAGAAGGATAAATATTAGTATTTGTCAACATTTATGCTTAGATGCTTAGAAAAATTTGTAAAACTAAACTCAACTTTTTTTATAATTCTTGAAAGCGAGACTTTTTATGGAATCTTGTATTGATATTTTAAGCTTTTTTTATCAGTATTTTGTTGAGGGCTACGAAATGTTATGTACATCATAATAAACATCGCAATAGTGCATTTCGCATGCCGAGGTCGAGTTAAACACATTATTGAGGTCATCCGTATGCAAAAACACATTGCATTGGCACGTGTAAACATTTTGAATCATCCTGTAGATTGTTACGGGCTACGAGATATATTGGTAAATATAAGTATATATGATATTTGGATGGCAGTATTGTGCTAAACAGTTCCCACCCGTTCCCGGTTTCAAAAACAAAAAAAAAAGTATATATGATATAATATATAATATTGCTTAGGTATATAAGTATTAGCATAACCATGACAGTATGACACGTGTCTGGGAGTTTGACATATTATTAATGATCAAGACACGAGATAGTAGATACATATTACATATTATTATGAATCTCGTTGCATTAGGATTAGAATGCATTTTCGGGTGTGGTTATCTACTTCTCAACAACATATTTTCGCATAGCAATTAGAATGTAATATTGTAATGTATAGGGCCCGGATTTCAATGCAAAATGCATATTTTTTTGGTTGATCTTACACAATGCATTCCAAGTACATAATCCGTTTCATGTAACGAGGGTTTCATAGCAACAAATCTTATATTGCATTTTTTTGCATATTTCGACGTTTTTTCATTTTTAGAGCATTTTTAGCATTTTTGGGTCATTTTGTTGGTTTTTAATGCATATGTGTTTAATATACTATACAAATTCAGCCAATTCAAAATATTATCTAAAAATAAATTATTCGATTCATTTTTTATCTTATTGTTCAATGCAATGCTCAAAATTTAGTAAGTACAATAGCCTTACTTAGAATTTAATTTTTAATATATACGTATTTTGGTATGTTTAGAATGAATAATATTTCTCCAGAACGACCAAAATACATGCGAGTCAACATCAATCAAATGTTCAGTTTTTTTTTAATAAAATAATAAAAAATAATTAAATTTTATTTATAAATTACAAATAGTATAAAAAATATATGTCATTTTTAAAGTCATATTTTCATTTTTAAGGTCATTTTTGTAGAAAAATGTATTTTTTAAGGGCATTTTTGGTTATTTTTTAGAGCATATTTGTATGGTTTTAAGTGCATTTAAATCCGGACCCTACAGTAATGACATATATATTCGTTTCTTCTGGTTAGTTATTTCATCGTATAAATCAGTTATAACTATTTGATACCTTGCACACAAATCTAAGTGATTTTTATCTGTACAAATGTTTGTTATATTCTTCATTTTTGCTCCAAGTAATTAATATTTTGTATTATATTCTTTTAACGAGAAGTAAGTAACAAGTTTATATTCTGCCCCTATTACTCTGGTGGGGCCCAAATAAATTTTCATAATGTAGACCTTTGTTTTGATCATAAGGTAAATATGTATAATAATCTGATAGATTTATTTCATTAGCCTTGTTAAGTCCAACCATCATCTCCAATCTAAAAGTAAAAATGACTTATAATTAATTTTTTACGGTAATTCCTTTATTAACGTTTCATAGGTGATCTTTTTCAAAAGCTTATCAAAAAGATACTTGGTTAATGTTACATCTGCACGGTAAACGGTCAAAAAGTCCTGAATGAAAAAAGTTGAACTAAAAGTCCGTATTCATTTTTTGATTGCCGAACAAAAAGTCCGAGTACATTTTTACTGTCGGACAAAAAGTCCGAAAATACAAAATTGTCTATAATATTAAAATTGATTTTTATATTTTATTACTTCTTATTATTTCTTCGATTGCCGGCACAGAAAAAATCCAGAAACCCAGAAAAAATTTCTAGAAAAATCTAGTCTACAATTTAATAATTTGATATACATTACGTTTGCGTTTGCCTATACAATAATAATAATAATAATAATAATAATTAATAATTATTTAAATAATAATATTTTTTTAAAAAGTTATACGTTTTAAAAAATCTAGTCTACAATAATAATTTATTCTACATTCCGTTTTCTTAAGCAATGACCAATCCTATTTAAAAATTCTGGTATTGTTAACTCGTTATTAACAAACATCGTACATAAATATTGTAATTTCACATTTTTTTCTGATCCATGTTTTTTTTTTCTTGCGGGTTCCGTATCATGTAATGCTATTTTAGCTTTATCTACCCCCACTACCTCACGAAATTTATTAATCAACTTCCAAATTGTTGGATGACTATGCCCGATTAAATGCGCAAATTTATTATTCCAGCTTTCACAAATATTATTTGTACGGTGTCTGGAGCGCATTGTACGTTCCATGTTTCAGGGGGGGTACAATGGCTTAATCCGTCTGAATTTTAAAACCCCGACTTTCCTATATGTTCCAGTAACATATGTGTTATCAAAATAATCAAGTATATCCGTATTATCGGGTGCACAAATTGATTTTAAGTATTTCATGCCTTCAATCACTTTTTGCACCGGCAAAAAAGCTAAACAATTGATCATACTACAATAATGGCTAAACACATTATCATGATTGTATTTATTTTTTAATCCTAAATTTTGTAATTTTCTATGAGTGGTTTGGCACAAATGGTAAAAACAACTTTGTATTATCAAATGTTCCCCAATAACTGTTTTTGCTGCTTGAATAACAGCTTGTTCGAAGTCCATGTTCATTATCTTAGGATCGGAATAAACATTATTTTCAGAACATTTATTGAATATTGCAGTAAACATTTTTTCATACGTACTGCGAGTTTTATTTTGAAGTAAACAAAATATTGGGTAATAAATTTGTCATACTTTTTAACTTTAATAACGTATAATTGCAAAAAAAAATTCGGGACTTAATTTCAAGTTATCATAGCAGAACCAAGTATCTGCCTCTGATAAATGAACTAAACCCTCATCCAACGAAAAAAATATTATTCGCTCATTCGATCCTGGACCATTATCAAAAAGCAAAAATTGTTTGTCTTTGTACATTGCCCATTCATTATTAATTGTAAGTTCTGACAAACATGATGGTTTTTTGGGATTACCCTTATTATTTTTGCGCTGCAACATTTTTTTGGCTGTTTCTTCATTTGCGAAAGATGTTAAAGCCTGCTCTGGCACCTGATTTATTACTTCAACGAAAATTTGTGAAGGAGTTGAGGTTGAAAATGTTGAAACACGTTTTAACATCTCAACCTTGGCTTTTTCTATTGTTTCTAAATTCGCATCACCAGCATACGAATATTCAACCTCAATTATTGGATTTTTATAATCTAATTAAATGTTTAAACGTGTTTTATTAAAAATATAAAATATAATTTTTTTTTAATTTTTTAAGCTTACTATTGGAAGTTACTAAAATGCCCGGACATTTTTCTGAAATTTTATTGGAATATTTCCACCGAATACTTGAAACTAGATTATAATGAACCGTATATGCATATCCGTCAAATATAATTTTTTTATTTTCTTTAACTACAAAAACTTCCATCTCAACTAAATAGCGTCTCGGGATACACTGACTAAGTGACAAATTCAATTTATAATTTAAGCCCGCTACGTCCCTCATGAAATCGATAATTTCGATGAGATCGTGGTAATAATATTGATTATCGTTATTAATTATTGTAGTATGTAGGTATCATCTTATGGTAGATAAACTGTAGACATACTGCAGCCGCGATAAACATTCAATAGATATAGCCATATCTGTAACCTACCGAACTACAGTGGATTTCCGTTATATTTTAGGTATAAGAAATAATAAGAAGTAATAAAATATAAAAAAAATTACAATAATATAATAAAAGTAGGTACAACAATTATATTTTTAAAATAAATATTAATTATATATGAACTGACTATATAATATAATATTACATTTATATAATACATATATTATAGTATAGTATTAGGTATATTAAAATTATAAATTTTATAGACAATTTTGTAATTTCGGACTTTTTGTCCGACAGTAAAAATGTACTCGGACTTTTTGTCCCCGGACTTTTCGTCCGGGATTCCATTTGCACAGGGTCATGAACATGCGTTATTTTATGATCTACATTACAAGCCAGCCAATTATTCATGACACTCGAATAGACTTAAAAATCGACCATTTTTCTTACAACTATCTATCTAACTATGTAACGCAATCTCTGTAATAGTACATTTATTAATTTGAAGTTACAAAGAATCTGTTGGTCATTGTTACAATCATATGCCCTTATGTTTTTTTTTCGTATGGCGTTTAAGTCCGGGAGTAGGGCCCGAAGGCCTATAGTTTGGACACGCCTATTTTTAGTGGGCACCCGTAGGTTTCT